CTTAAAAACAAAACAAAAAACAAATAAACTTTTTTTTTGTTTGTTTTCTTTTAATTTTCCTAGAAACGTAAACAAGCAACGCTTAGCCTGGTGGCAGGGCTAGTAAAGCATGGCGGGCCGCCAGGCTTATAATACACTGGGGGAAACCCCGAGTTAATAAGATACATACCTCATATGTATTAGGTGACAAACTTCGGCTTCTTTTTAAACAGGAGGTCTGACCATTATGGAAGATTTCTTCTTCACCAACACACTGCACGCCTGTTCGTGCACTGCTGCCTCTCACTGGTGGAGATGGTGTATTGCACTACTTAAAGCAGCCTTAAATTATGTTTCAAATGCAAAGTTCATAAGTGCTTTGTAGACATCTTGCTGTAAAACTTCAGATCAATTAGAAATGTAAGACTAAACAAAATTTCAGAGCAATATAATATTATCAGATAAAGCTACATAATTTTTAAAGTTTAATTGGTAATACTTTTATAACAAATTTATGACTGTCCACATTTTCTTGGTTAATGTCAAGTTGTCAGACATTTTGAATGTCAAATTTGTATTAAATTTAATTTCTGAATGACACTGACAACAGTCATAAATATTCATGTAATGTCAGTCTTATTCACACCCCATCAAATAAAGTGTTACCAAATTTTTAAAAACCTTCTATTTATTTGTAATTAATTGTCAACTACGGACAATTAAGTATTTATATTAACAGCCTTATATAAATTTTATATGTGACTTCAGGTTAAAACATCTCAATTTCTTTTTTAACCAACAATATTAACAGTTTGGTCCTACTTGTTTACTAAAAATGGCGATAATTTCAATTAGCGTATTCATTCTGAGCCATATAGAAATCTGCATAAAGTAATAAAGATGAAACATTCATATGAGTACAATACCTTCTGATAATCTGGAAGCCAGTTGGCCCTTCCTTCAAAAGGGTCTCTGGCTTTTGACATGTGGCTGAAGTCTGCAAAGCCAGTGCAGCTGTTTGTGGCGCTGTTGAACGTACTACTTCCAAAGGGGTCCAGTGTTGAGAATAGATCTGAAAATAACATGATAACCAGTGAAATAAACTCCTAAAGATATCTGAAGATTTTTGCTTCAAGATTTGTGAAAATAGTTTGGAGATGGTGCCTTCCTGTTCCAACATGACCATGCACAAAGCGAGACCTATTAAGATATGAATGAGACAGTTTTATATGACCTTGAGCCCTGATCTTGACCTGACAACACATTTTTGTGTTCATGTTGTCAACTAGGACTACTTATCATACATCAGTGTCGGACCTGAAGAAGGCTGTGCTGGAAGAATGGTTAAAACTTCTCAAAAAAGGGTGTCCTGTGGTGGCGCAGGGGTTAAGCACAACCCATGTATAGAGGCCTTAGTCCTCGATGCAGCCATCGCAGGTTCGATTCGCGGCCTGGCGACCTTTGCTGCATATCTTTGCCCATCTCTCATTACCAACTTTCCTGTTAATTAACTATCAAATAAAGGCCACTAGAGCCAATAAAACCTTAAAAAAAAACCCCCACACTTTTAAACCTTGTAGAAAGTAGGGATACTTTCTACAAGTATTACAGTAGTAATACGGGTATATTGTAGAAATTATAAAAATTTGGCCTATGAGGTCTGTAGCCTACTGGCTAACC